AGACCAACTCCACATTCACCTGACAAGTTGGTTTTGGCTAGGGGTGGGAATCTTTTACAACCTCACGATTCGATTCAAAATCGATTTTACATTCAAAACTCAATGTGAGCCCATTTGTCGTGTTCCTAAAGTGCTTCATCTTCATTTAGCAAATTTTGCACACAGTGAAGCTCAGGTCAAACTCAGACTCGATCAGTTAAAAACAAAATGAGCCCAAATCTTTGCATTCAATAAAAACGGTCAGTTGAATCTCTCTTTCCTCCAGTTTTGTAGTTTCCTCTTTGTGTGGGTGCTTTCTGCACATGCATACAGATCTGGCTCCATGTGACGTCAGGACGTCTCAAGTGGTTACAAAATGGAGGTTGACAACCTTTGGATTTTCTTTCTTTCTTTAATATTTTCTTTTATATTTAAAATTTGATTTTGGGACATTTTAATGCAGGACCTCTACAACAAGAGATGTGTGAAGAAAGCCGTCAGTATCTCCTCTGACCCCACCCACCCCAGCRACTTCCTGTTTCAACCCCTGCCATCTGGAAGAAGGTACAGGATCATCAGAGCCAGAACCACCAGACTCAAGAACAGCTTCTTTCCCCGTGCTGTTAAACTGGTGACCCCAGCCGCTCCAGCCACAACCTGAACAATCAGAGACTGTCCGTTGTCTACACCTAGTTCACTTCATACACACGATTGTGTATTTAATGTTTGTGTTTAATGTTTATGCACYTTATGTCTTGTCTTGTCTGCACTATGTCCTTTGTTACRGCACTGGAGATCTAGCTTAAAAGCATTTTGTTGCACTGTACAACCCTGTTTCAGTATAATGACAATAYATTGAATTGAATTTTAAATCYATTCTGAATCTTTGTAAATGAGAATGACGATTCTGATGTAAAATGATATTTTGGTGCACCCCTAGTAATGGCATAAATTCAAAATATTTTACAGTGATTTTTTTTTTTTGTTGGCTCCAAGAAAAATAAATGCTAAAAATAAGGCAACAAAAACAAAATAAAACAACACAAATAGCTCTGTTTGAGTATTTCATAAAGACACTTCCAGTTCCAAGCTTATATAAAGCAGGAGGGTTTAATGTAGAGTAATTCCACCACACAAAACAGTGGTTTGTTTGTTCTTGATCTGTTAGGAACCATGGATAGAATATCAGCATTAATGTACTGAAGATGCACTGTTCTGGGTTATAATCTAATTTCCATCCTTGGAGCCTAAATATAAATTTAAATCTTATTTTTTTAGATTGAAATTACAGGAAAAATAAATGTTGTGATTATGTGGTTCTAGGAATTAAAGTCAATTAATTATAWTAAGTTCAAATGTAGTTCTACACATTGAGAGCTTTTCACTCACAATAGATCACAATTATATTGAAATGACCAGAATGCAAATTAGATAATGATGTCATCTAGTAATTTTTAGAACAGCAAATAGCAACTTTTCACTTAGCAATGGTAAGACAGCAGATAATCTTGAATGCAGATGACTTTGTTTGGGGTAGAATCAGAGCATCTTTAGTAAAATACAACTTTTGAGTCAATAAAGGGTTACACTGGACAGCATTTAAAAGAAAGAAAGCAGTCACACACAGCAATAATTACTCAGCAGGACAAGGTTTGAGTTTATGGTAAACTTACGTATACATTGAGAGGCTGGAATCATACGTGGACGTGACTCCATATTTAACTTCATTGAAGCGGAACATCTCATTGGCATCCCAGCCGTTGGACTAAGAAGACAAATGAAAGGATTATTGAGATAATAAATTTACCAGCAGAACAGTTAAATAAAAACATGTAGGTAATAAAGTAAACACTGTCTGACTGAAAACAGTTTTGCACCCATTTATGACATWGGTGAAAAAATATTCCAAATGGTTTTGTTTCCGTTTTTTTTTTTTTTTTTTGACAGAAATTATCTAGTTTGCACAAAAAGTACTGAAACAATTTTGGGGCTCATGTGATAATATTTTGTACACATCAGAAAAGTGTCTGATGCTCACAAAATTGTTTTACATACAAAACATCAACCTGGCATTTAGCTAGACGGGAGTCAACAGCCTGAGGTTGCGCACATCTCATATATATAAATAAAATACCTCATCTTCACTAGGTTTCTGGATAACAGTATCAAGTATATTTTCAGGAAGTTGGACATTTAGTTTGCTAGATTACCAAGAGGATTACCTGCTGTGCACCAGGGTTGGGCATAATCGTATTGTGTGCAATTAATCATAAAATAAATAAATAAATAAATAAATAAAT